TTTATAAGTCTAATGAACTACTACTCCTTCCACCAATTGGTTTTGGGATGGAACCTCATTTAGGCTGCATCTGAGCTTTTCATGCTATTGTGCGTTTCACGCGTAGGACCGCACTCTTTCCCCCTATTTCTTACCATTTCCATTGTTTTTCCTATGTTATTATGCACATGTTCTTGATCAACATTAATTCACTGAATTATGCCCTTATAAAAATTATAATTCTTTTTCTACTATTTTTTTGTTTTCTATTTTGGTATATATAGAGCCCTTACATTTTATTTTCATTGAGTTATCTTCCACATGTAGTTTTGACAAGGTGGTCAACCAGCAGACAGATTGTTTTTGACTAGTGTGTGTGAGCAGATTCTGTTTTCTTTATTAAATCACATGTTATATATCTCAAATGTTGTGGTTTTCCTTTTCTCTTAATAAAATTTCAATTTATAATTTAATTGCTAGTGAGAAAATTACTAAAAACAACTTTTTTTTATTAGTACATCAATTAAGCATACTTAAGCCTCATAATTACATGCTTATATTGTGATTATTGTGATGGAGTCAACAACTTTGGCAAAAATTCAATTTTGGTCTGTTTACTTGTTTAAAATTCTTTTTCGGTACACTAACTTTCACATCATCAATAATAGTACGTTTATGTTGCAATTTGTACCAATATTAGGATATTATCGCGAAAATAATTCATTATTTTTTGGGACTAATGTCCTAAAAAGGATACAAATTGCAACATATATAACGTACTGTTTTTTATGAATAATGTCCCAAAATGATACAAATTGCAACATAAACGTACTATTATTGATGGAGAAAAAGTTAGTATATCATAAAAAAAAAGAACTTTAGACAAGTAAACGGACCAAAATTGAAATTTTTTCTCGAACAACTTATTGCACCCGTTTTGGTATGATCATTTAATTAGCCTGTTTATAATTTTCAGACAATGGCCAACTTATTTATTTATTTATTTATTTATTTTTGGTACAAATGGATACCAATTTTACTTACATGTAAAGTATAAGAAAACCTTTTGTTATAAGTTTCTTTCAGGATTCATATATAGTGTCAACTTTCGAGAGAGACAACAATGGCATGCACACAATAAGCCCAGCCTTCCAAGCAACGTTAGGTTTTTTAGTGATCATAATAGGTTTTGGTCCCATTGCATATCCTGCACAAGATCACCTAATTATGATCATTTGAGACAACTTTTTAAAATTAATTCAAAAGAAAAAAAAAACTCAACGAGAATGGTTCCGCAACGAGACCTTAGCATTTCACAACTAAATAAGCTATCAACTATCTGCTAACGACCATAGCTCGAACAATGCAGAACACTAGAAAACAAAAATTAAGTAAAAAAGCATGCATATATATATTTATATATAACTTTCATTATATAGTACATAAATCTCAAACAATGCAGAACACTCATCACAAAGATCGATCCGGCACTAACCACAGCCTAATAACACCGTAAAAATCACCGTGGTTATCATCAGATCACCATAATCACAACAATTATCGACTACTTAAGCTGCAATTAATTTTCCGATTTACTGCAGCTCGGTCGATCATACATACCACCTCCATTGTACTTCTCATTACATTTTTTTTTTTTTGGTTCACTTAGTAGTTAGTTCATATTTCCAGTTTTATTATTTACAACAAACTGTGTATATATATATATGAATAATATATATAAAAATCCTCAACATAATGTTGACTCACTTCCACATATATATATCTTCACGAATATTCAAAAATCGCCATTTTCCTTCGAAACCTCGTCCTGGCTGAGCTGTGAGGCCACAAACTTATCGAGCACCCTCCAATCGGTCACCTGGTCTCCAGAACCTTCCGGAATGTTCCCAAACACAGACTGGAAATTGTGGTCGCCTAGGGTTTGGCGAATGTCACGAGCGAGCGCTAAGCCATGCAGGAGGTTGTTTCCCTGGTGGGCCGGGTTCGTAAGCCCATAGGATTGGATCGGGCCGTGGGCGAAGTTCGGGCTTTCTAAATTCGGGAGCTGGAGAAAGTGATCGACTGGGATAATGTTGTACGATAAATCCATTTCCTTTTTGCATGAAGTACTACTATTGTTGTTGTTGATGTTGTTGTTGTAAGAGAAAGTGTAGTGAAGGCTCTGGGGGGAATCGATATCGGACATGAACGAGGAATTTTCGTCGTACCATATGGGGGAATCGACTCGTTCGGTGAGTTTACGCGTTGTGGTGGCGATTCTTTTCTTGAACACCCGACACACGACCCAACCTTCTTCCTGCACGCACGACTACTTTTAGCATCGAGTATCAATCGATGTGTATATATACATGTATAATTGCGATTCTGAAAATATGGATTAATTAAATCGGATTTCAATGGGACTACTTTTGATACGATTATTGTGAAAATTTTCCCCATATGTATTAGTCAAAAATTCATAACTGGTCAATATTGTCCACTTTTCACTTTTTGTGCCGATATTGACCCTCGTCAACCTTGATCCTACAAATTGATATTTTTCTCAATGTTGGTAATTTTTTTTTGTTTTTTTTCTCAAAATTGGGTCTCTTTATTGCCCATTTTTATGGGAAATAATATGGTTTCGTTACGGTACCATCTCGTCGGGTGTTTGAACCGTTAGATTATCTATTTTATACTAACTACATGTGTATCCAAAAGCTAAAAACTCCCAACAGGATAGTACCGTAACGAGATCATAGCATTTCCCCATTTTTATTCAGGTTGTGGATACAAATTGACAAAAATCGAGAAAAATATAAATTTATAGGTCCAAGAGTTAATGAAGGTCAATATTAAGTACCAAAAATTGGAAAGTAGAGAATATGAAGGACTGATATCGAAATAATATGTTTGATTTTCAGGCGTGGAGGGACAGAGGTGAATCTAGTAGATGTGTTATGCAAGCTAGCATTGCCGGGTAATCATACTAATGTAATAATTTTGAAGGCCATGCCTAAAAATGAGAGAGGGTTGAAGGACCATTTGCATGCACGTTTATTTGACCATGCATCAAACAAAATTAAGTACAAAACTATGTGTCACACGCATATACAATATATATATTCATAAATTATTTTGGATACATATAATTTTATCACTTTAATTTAGGTAAATTATATATTGATTTACTTGCCTGAGGGGTTCCGTTTTCGTCGGTCTCCATGCGATATTCGTGCATTATCCAGTCGGACTTCTGGCCGTTCGGAGCCCTTCCTTGATAGAAAACCAAAGTTTTGCGCATCCCAATCAGCTCGTTTTTGGAGTATATGGCCTTGTCGCGACCCGTCGCCTTCCAAAAACCAGCGGCCGTGGCGCGGTTCGTGCGAGTGCCCGTCGGATACTTCTTGTCTTTGTGGCTGAAAAAGTACCACTCGTCTTGCTCTTCCGTTCCTATTCGGCAGAGCTCTGACGAAATCGAGAAATGACAAGTCGAATCTTTTAGCATTCGATCCAATTACTTCTGTTTTACTAAATGAAATGAAGGTTGAATTGTAAAATACAATCAATATCTTGTACGCAATTTCAATAATAGCCACCAATCTTTACGAATTGGCAATAGCAGTCAACAACCTTTAAAATTTCGGGGTCATTACCCAAATTTGATTAAATTCGACAAGTAAATTGCAAAATATAACAAATATCTTTTATGCAGTGAAAATAATAATTGTAGAATTTGGGCTTACCTCAAAAATCAAAAGTTGTTGGCTACTTTGCCAATTCGTAAAGATTGTGGCTAATATTGCCACCGCGTGAAAGATATTCACTCAGTTAAAACATGAAATGAAATATTAGTTTTTTTGTTGCACCTTCTTATATATATGGAATTATTTTAAGACAGCTCGACGAATTAATATTGTACCTTGAAGATCCCAAGGCTCGATTCTGTAAAGATCGACGTCTTTGATAACGTCCAAGTCGATTCGTCTAGCGGCAACCTTTCTCCGGAGGTAATAGTCCACGAGTTCTTCATCCGTAGGATGAAATCGAAAACCGGGAGGAACATGTGTTAGAGTATTCATATTCTCCTGTTTTTCTTATGAGCCTGCAATGTAATGCATTGATCATCTATAACAACACATAATTGTCTATAAAATGTGGCAATTTTATGTAGTAATTTTCCTCCTAAATTTATGTCATGTTTGAGTTATATTTCAGAAATTAAAAAAAAAATAAAAAAATGAACACACTATATATATATGCTCAATTATTTCAAGAGTTTATATTGTTGTGTGTGTCACTTGATGATATTCAACCACATACATGGCTTTTTGTTGCTAGCATTATGTTTCTTGTTCCATAATCTTGTTGATTAGCTAAAGACAATTAACCTAATCTCTAACATAATCATACAAGCATGCAAACCATGAGAAAGTATTTCAACTACTAAAAAAAAAAAAATCACAAAACACATTATATATATACACACACACAACATTCAATATTTTCCTGCAATTATCATCATTAAAATCCTTTTGGATTAATGGTGATTGGGATCATATGTTTGCATAATATATATATTTAGTTCTTGGATCACAATGTGAAAAATGGCATACCCCTATATTTGTTTAAAATGCAAAAAATTTATATATCATCATTCTCCTAGCTAGTATGTGAGATGTCTTTTTAAGAGTTCATGTATATATGCCTATGAGAAATCAATCATATACATGTCCATTTTGAGTTGCTCATAAAGCCATATGTACACATCAAATAACATCAACTTGAAGAAGAAAAAAGTGTGTTCATCTTGTAGCTAAAAAAGCTATTTCTACACATCAAATAACTCAAATTGAAAAGAAAAAAAAATAAAAAAAAAACATTGTGCCCTTATATTATTATTATAGGATAAGGCTACAGTCCAGTTACAGAACCATTCTGTTGAGATTGATAACCGTTCGATGCACATGTTATATTAATCTACATGTTAAAAATCCCAACATAATGTTTCCGTAACGGAATTGTAACATTTTCCATTATTATATAGA